GTTTCATTGATGTAAGTAAACTCCATGTACAGTGTGAAGCAGAAACCAGTGGACGATATAAGCGTTTTATAGATATAATATTTTTAAAATTCAAAATGGCTGTTGGATTCTAAATTGACTAATCCAGCAATGGTGTTGTGTATTATAGTGAGTTAAATTAATGTTAATGGATTAATTAATTCAATGTTGTCCAATCAACTAAGACTTTAATAAGAGATCAGTCATAGACACTATGTCACATCCATCCATGCATAATTGCAGACATGTGAGCACACTGAGGTGTGAAGATCTCATTCTGATCTGAGGGTTGGTATTTTGATCTAAAGTACAAGTTTGTGTTGTGCACTGTATGAGGTTGTCACGAAAATACAGCTATGTTTCGATTTGTGTATATTCTCTATTATTATACTTTTTCTGTTTGTGTGTTAGTGAGAGGTAACCGCTGTAGATACCAATAAAAACATATTCTATGCAAGTCATTTCACACATTGTTTACATGATAATCTGTGCACTGTGACGTATTTCTATTTTCGTCAAATGCAATAGCAATGCTGCACTTATTGTGGGAAGTATTTAAATGTGATGTAAATATTGCAAATACAAATACAGTGCTTGTTTTGGGTGCCATGTGTACTATGGGTATACATATTGTACGTTTGTCATTGTAGGGTTACCGCTCACGGTCTGCATACATTGCTACCCAAGGTCCATTGGCAGAAACTACTGAAGATTTCTGGAGAATGTTGTGGGAACATAACTCCACTATTATTGTAATGTTAACAAAACTGAGGGAGATGGGCAGGGTAAGTCAAAATAAGTTTAATTTAATAATTCACTCTACAATAAATGCATCTTTTGGTTTATGTGATTTTTAGATGCACTTCAAAAAGCGCAAATATGGTAGTTTAATTTATTAAATTCTTGTATCAATTACTTTATTGATGTGCATAGTATGTTGTTGTTGTGAAATCTAGATCTCTATATTAAATTGAACCTAGATATACTGTTAATGCATTAATTATTAAATCTACATGAATTTGTGAAAAAAACTCACTGATTTTATTGGACAAATACGTGAAATTGAAACAGTGAATATGTCAAAATTGTGAAAATGAATGGTTTTACAGTAGTCTACAATATGATGGTTTGTCTCTTGTAGGAGAAGTGTCATCAATATTGGCCAGCAGAGAGATCAGCAAGGTACCAGTACTTTGTTGTGGATCCAATGTCAGAGTATAATATGCCACAATATATTCTAAGAGAGTTTAAAGTTACAGATGCAAGGGTGAGTCCTACTGGTTGTCATTAAAATAGTATATTAAAACAAAAGTTTTCATATACAATTCAACATAGAGGGCATGCTTTCTCTAAAGAACTGACTGATGTTAATTGCATGTACCATGTATTTTTTAGGATGGTCAGTCACGAACAATTCGACAATTCCAGTTCACGGATTGGCCGGAGCAAGGAGTTCCCAAATCTGGTGAAGGCTTTATTGATTTTATTGGCCAAGTACACAAAACAAAAGAGCAGTTTGGTCAGGATGGTCCCATATCGGTTCATTGTAGGTAAGTCACATGGATGTATGGTAGAGAGATTTTTCACATCAAATGACAATATACTCATTGTCATCTTTCTTCAACCCCCCCCCCCTCCTTCCTGATACAGAAAAGAGCAAACTCACACACTCCCTGATATTCAACTTCTTTATGTATTTGCAAATAAAGATCATGTTTGTGCGAGTTGTGTTTTAACACTTTTCCAATTTGTTACAGTGCCGGAGTTGGTAGACAGGTGTTTTCATCACTCTTAGTATTGTACTTGAGCGTATGCGATATGAAAGTGTC